ATTTAATTAATTTTCTGAATATTGTTTAATTTTAATTTTAATTTTATGATTTATACTGTTTCTTTGACTTACAGTCTACTTAGAAGAAGACATGGTGTGATATTTTCTCCCAGTATTAGAAACTTTAAAAAGTGTATTTCATTTTCCATTAAAAAAAAGAAACTTTCAAAAGCCCAACACAAAAGCTTACCTACTACAAAAGATCCATAATGTAGCGTTCAAGTGAAGTCCAGCCAACCGATGACTACGTTGGTGAGAACAGTGGCTGTCCTGGTGAGATGGGTAATGATGTGAGCCTTCCGAGATGCCGTGAAAACGCCACATGTCGATGTGTGGTGTGGCGGCGTGAGGGAAAAGTTGTACAGAGTGATTTATGTGCTGAAGATTTGCATACTCACCTATTTGCGTGTTATGTGTTACACATTTTCATGAAAAAGTAGAAGCAAAAAAATAAAATAAAATAATAATTGCCAAGTTAAAAAGAATGAAGTAGGTTTTTTTTGCAGGCTCAAATGCTTTTAGGGCATTTCTGGTTTTCAGTAACTGTCTGGGTTCGAACCAAAGAAGCTTGAGCTTGAGGGCTTTGCTTAAGCAGGCGCTTAAACAGCTGAGCTGCTGGGCAGGCCCCCAAGAATGAAGTAGTTGTAAGATTCATCTTTTTTGAGCTGGAGACTGAGCGCTAGCGTGCGCGGCATGACATCTGTGCAAGCCCTATTAAGCGTGTGATGCATAACATAATATAGCAATAAGGACATGGTTGTCAAATACACTTGCATAAAAGAAAGCGTAAGACATTCCATTCTCTAATTCAAATCTACACTTACAGACTCCCTATACGTGCAGTACAACAAGTATCCTGATGCTCACAGAGCTATCGTTCTCACTTTAAAACCATTCATAGCCAAACTTGACTCTTCCTTACTTTTATTGATTTTAAATAAGCCACAGCTTACAGTTTTCACCCAATTGAAAATCCTAGACAATAGCAGATGATCAGTAACAATATATAGGATTTAATGGCAGTTGGCTAGGGAAATTTTAGCATAAGTTTGTTATATATAAAACCATCTGCCTGATGCTGACAAATATTTACATTTAAGTACTCACATAGTTTTCCAATCCATGCAGTTGCAAAAATACCAACATTCCCTCCACTATTTCTCTCTACCTTTCCTGCAGATGTTATAATGTGGGCCTGCTGGTCTGTGCATCCCATCCAATGTTTCCTCCAAACTGACACCATTCAGCCTTCTAGAATCCTCAGTTCCCATGCAGTTGCTTATTCCTC